TGCTCTCAAAGAGCTCCTCTCTCTATGGTTTTAATGATAATTATTTAAACCTTTAAACATTCATAATGTGACTTTTCTTTTTTTTAATGTATATGTGTAAAACACGAGGGCTCTCTACAGCTATTTTTAATGTCTCTTTCGTCTCTGCTTCATAGGGGAAATTATGCACCTCCAGTCTAACACCCTAATCCTGGAGGCATATGTTGTTTTTTTGAAAGCATCAGGAAGAAATCACAACCTGTTTGTGTTGGAAGCGGTGGGAGGAGGCAGCAGCATCAAATGTTATGTCTGCACTCATAAATACACACATGCATACACAAACACATTCAGGCTTTTTTAAAATTTCTAATTTACAGTCCAAAAAACTGCACATCATTCCATTTTCCTGTGTTGCAGGTTTCTTCACAATCCAGTCTGACACATTCAAACATTTGTCTCCCACACTGAGTCTCTCACTACTTAATGATCATGTCGAACAGCTCACTGTGTGATAAAGAAGGACCAGGGATAGATGTTAACCCTAACAGGGCTTATAGTTTGAGTGTGAACCATAATTGTCTTTGTGTCATCTACCTGTGTTTATGGGCATTTTAATGGCAGTACAGTTTGTCTTGTCAATCAAGACATTTCATAGGGCTGCCAGTGACCCCACCGATAACTCCACTGTATAATGTGATTAATTTAATTTACAACAAAGTGGTTTGAGAAACACAATTACAGTATGTACTCACATATTATGGCATTGTCATTCATTCAGAACACTGCAAATGTTTCAGATGTGTCTGTATACTGCTAATGTCATAAATTGGACATGAAGATTGTAGCCTATATGATTACTATTGCAGCCCTCTGTCTCCAGGTTTTTCTGATGGTGTTTTGGAAATGTGGATATTTTTACTTTGTCTTGGTAGAAATGGTGTCCCCTTTTATTCAGTGTTTAGATTTTACCCACTAGTTGTTACTATAACTGCCTGTGACTGCAGTGAATATAAGAAACAGTCACTGTTTAAGAGCAGATGTCTCAAAAATACTGAATTTAAAGTGCTTTTTAGTGATTTACTGCTAGCAGGTGGGTTTCATTTGTTGACATGCGTACAGTAGGAGCTCTCCATGTCTGAACTGGAAAACATTTGAGTATTGTGGACCAAGTGAGAACATTTGCAGCGTCAGTGTGAGGGGTACAGAATCATGCCATAGTGTTTGTTTTGCTGCCATATAGACCTTTTGTGATGTTCTGTTTTATCACAGCGCTGAACTACTTTCCTGAAACCTGATTTTAAGTTGCCCTGCCATAAGATTCAGTTAAATTTCCACTGCCTATGAATTTATTTGTGATGAAATGTGCAAAAAATTTAGATCCTCCTGGCTTTGAGTCATTTGTCTAACTTGGCAATTAAGACTTCTGTTGAGGTAAATTTCAGTGACCTAAACTTGCAGGAAGTTCTCGTTTCCTGCATTTGTTGTGTGTGTGTGTGTTTGGGAGGAGCATGGTGAATGTGTGTGTGTGTGTGTGTTTGGGAGGAGCAGGGTGAGTCTAAGCTTTAGATGTCATTGCTTGTGTTTCTGTAGCTGATAGATGACAAAGGTGCCTGGCGGGGTTCAGAGGTGTGTGTGGTCTGGGCCATCAGCGAGCCCAGATGGGGCTCCCATAAAAGTGACGGTGTTATTTTTCCAGGTTCGTATCAGAAACTGTTTTCTCTGCTTGTACGTGATGTAAACTCAGTATTGTCACTCTGACTGCTAAGGTACACCAAAGCCATATGTTAGGAGTTAAGGTAAAAGCAGGGACAGGAGTGAATGCTGAAATGTTTTGCCATCTTTTGTCTGCTTCCCAATATTAATCACACATCTCTCCCATATTATATTTATTTTTCCTCCTGTGGTGGATGAATGGTCGTTGTGGAGAACTCTCCCTCCAGTGCTGCACTTGTCTTATTGATGGCCTGTCTGCTAAGGTGTGTGTGTGTGAGAGAGTGTGTGAGCCTCCACCTGTGTACACTTCACATTTAAACTACATCATTCACCTGTCCTTCTGGGCTTAAACCACCTGCACAGCCATGGTGTACACCCACTCAGATGCTGTCACTTACTTTGAGTGACTCCTCTCAGGACTATGTGAGCATGTGTAGACCAAGTCTGATCCATCGTCCCTCGCACTCCTGTTCAGATTGTTGCATCTTTTATAGCAGGGCACCGTACTGTAAAGAGGTCCGATAAGAACAGCTGTGTGGGTGTACAGTGCCCTTAAGTGTCATTTGGTTTTGCTTTTTTTTTTTTCCTCCAGTCTTCTGTTTTGCTACTGACAGTCTCATTCTGTAATGTGCCTAAACTAGGAAAAGGAAAAGTAATCATTTAAATTTTGCCTTTCATATGAAACATATTCAAGCCTGAAAAGTAAATAAAATACTACTTTATTTTCTTTGCCTTAAATGTGATTTTAAAATGTATTAAATCATGTGCTTTTATTTACAGGTAAATGTTAAATTGAACTGTAAGAGATGGATTCATTAGCTTCAGATACTGCAGTACAGGCAAAGAGTACTTAAGTTTCATTCTGTCAACAGCAGCCTGACTGAACTGTTGCTGTGCTGAAATGGTTAGTTTTTGTCACTGAAAGGAATGTAATTTAAAAATGTCAGATATTCCTCTGCTTCTCTGTTGGGGGGATTTGTTGGGTGTTCTCTGCCTTATGTGATAAAAATCGTTGGATTCTGGACTGATGGTCAGACAGAACGAGCCAGTTTAACATACAGTATCACTTTG